CGCGCATTGCCTCACTGTTCAATGCACTGGCAGTTGGATGTGTCGGGCGTCTGTAATGAAGTGAGAAGGGTAAACAATTGTATCGCTTGCATGACCTTGCATCAACCAATTCCCCAGCGTTTGTCGACATCACGGTGACGAGGAGTGACTCGTAGTGATGGTGGAGAGAACAGTCCACACTTTGTCTCGTGGCAGAAGCAGAAGTGTGTATGCAGTGCCTCTAAAGTTGTGTGGATGGAAGTCAATGTTGCATCACCGTGCACTCTTTCTGATACCCGTTTAACTTGGATGCGGTTATGATGATGGGCACGCAAACCGGCGTTTCCACTGCTGCACACAATAAGACTACGAATTGTCCCACACACATGCACGCAAACGGAAGGTACGAGTCTACAGTTGGGAGGCAAGGTTGACCGAATGTCGCATTCGAGGCGTCGTTGGCGTTGTCCTTGTTCGTGTTCTTGTTGGTGTTAGTGGTTGGGAGAGCTGTTGTAAGGCAAACGCGGCAAAGCTGTGCACCACTTCCCTACAAGTATTCTCAATGGATGACAGAAGTGACTCATAATGGGACGGAAAGATGCGTGAGGGAGGAAAGGAGAGAGGAGTGAACGTGTGACATATGAACTGCAGTATCTGAAGGTCGGTGGTCAACGAGTCACCCAAGGACAAGCGATCCTCCAAGTCAAACAGTGGAGATGTGAGCGCAGTTAAGTGGACAATAGGATGAGCTGCAACACCACCATCACCATCGTCGCTCCTCATTCTTGCCCTCCTCCTTCTTCTTCTTCTTCTTCTTCAGCAACAGCAGTAGTAGTAGTAGTAGTAACAAGAACAACGTGAAGATCAGGAGTGGCAGCAACATTGACTGGCATTCTCATGACCATCACCACGTGGTGATGCATTGTTTAACCGGCAAGTGATGTTGGCTGAAGGCGAGTTTGGGAAGGGAGTACGATTGGCACCAATGGTGGCAGAGAAGGGAATGGGCAGTGGTGTGTGTGGAGATGTGGTTGAAGGAGGCGCGCACAAAAGTGTCATCGTGAATGGGAGATGAGGAATGAGGAGGAGAGGAGAGCGGTAAAGAGACAATGAATGAAGAGGGTGAGGTGCGGGAGAGTGGAGAGATGGAAGGGGCAAGGGTAGAAGGGAAATCGATCACCCACCTGCCAGAACCAGACGACCTGCTTGGAGGATGCGTTGTACTTCCGGTATACCGTGTTCGTCCGCCAATCCTCCACGTCCAACTCAGGCATTCCAGACAGCAACAACTACAAGGCAAGACAAGACAAGGCAAGGCAATTCAAGGCAACGCATACCATTCACATTCACCTCACATTCTCTTCCACTATTCTCCCTTTTCCTTGCTATCTTTCTAGCTTTG